AGTCAAGTCAAACACAAACAGGTTCAGAGGATGGTATCTGTCCAAGGAAAAAGCATCAGAACAAGTCCAGAAGTCAGAAAGTCCCGCCGGGGGCAGGGCAAGAGACTGAAGAAAACTGCAAAACAGAGCCCCCTTTAGGATGGGAAGAGGGGGCTTACAAGGGGAGACCATAGAGGTAGTGTTGATGTCCTGCCCTCTTCCTATAGATCTGCCCCATCAGGAAGGGAAACAAGGGTTTGTCTGAGACCTCGCCAGATACTTTTAGCCTGGTCAAAGGTCCCACCTCTCCGTCTGAGAATTTTAGTGAGATAACATAGCATCTTGAAATCCTGCAGCAGCTGCTCTGCTGGATCCATATTCTGGTCACAGAGGCAGAAAGTGGTGGTGAGAATCCAAATCCAGACCTGGGATGGACAGGAGACTAGAGACTGTCAAGATTTGGTTAGAAACAGAATAAAAAAAGGCAGCCAAGGTGGAAATCCCAAAACACAAAGCTAGAGAAATGAAAAAAATATGTAGAAAACACAATCCAAACTAGAATAAAATAACAAACAGGAATGTAAAGTGCTCTGAAATCTGGAGATGACGAGGTGCTAACAGCTGTGAGGATTTGAGAAGGAACGAGAGATGCCAAGGAGCTTAAGTACAGAGGAGAGCGATTACTGAAAGAAACCAAGCCTACAGATCTAAGGGCAAAAGACAAATCATCTCCAAATAAACAGGCGACCAGAAAGAAATCTAAATTAAACACTTAAACTTAAGACCCCAACCTCATAACACGTATCAGATCGCTTCCTGTCAACATTTAGAATCAAACACATGAACATATTTGAGAAAACATGTAAGATGGATAGTTGCCAAATAGAAAACTGCTCCTAGCTCCTAATCAATGTCCACATCTACAGCCTCATAAATGACTTATATGCCTTGTTAAAATCAAAAGTGTCTAACTTTTCTCAGGGACTCTGGCTGTAAAACATCATGCTCCAGTGGCATTGTGGCTCTTCAAGTCAAGTATGAAGCAAAGGGATCCACTTAGCACGCATACCTTTGCTTCAACACTCCACCTGAGGGGACAACTGGCGTGTCGATGGGATTTGAACTTTTCTCAAGTTGTCCTTTTTTGCTCAAATGAAAAAAGCAGAAAGTGGTGCATTTTGTGAACGTAATATGAAAGTAAATATGTGTTAGGGTTAGGATTTCTACCAATTTTACTGTCAAATTAGCATGACTGATGCAATTACCCTTCCCATGCTACCTAACATATAATTTTCTCCAAATTAAATTAAAAATAGAAGCAAAAATTATTTATAAACTGAAAAATGAAAGAAGTGCTCATGGGATTTCTACATTCCAATCTCCCCAAAGCTAGTTGACTCCATGATACCAAACTCACATTTAGTTTGGTATCAACAGTGTACTGACAGGCTAGAATGTTTGTCTTTGTTAGCTTTAGCGCTGTAATCATAGAGCAATAGACGGTGGTTCTATCTAAAGCTGCAATTCAGTCTCGTGGGGAAAAAGCAGGGCCTACTCTGTCATGCAGGTTAAGCAGTCAGATGCGGGAGTAAATATAATGGAGGTGATAAAGCATTTACATTAACATCAACCTGTGAGTGCCTGATATGACTGTATCTGGTCAATAAAAGACATAGCCAGACCTCACAGTAATCCTCTCAACAATGCTTCCCTTTGTCTAAACTCCATTAACTTTTTAAAAAGCTAAAATGGCTCATAAAAAAGAAACGTTAACAGCACTGCTTGTTCCTGTCCTGAACGGCCCATAAACCCTAGATCCAGCTGGCAGTTGATTTGTTGTGCAGCGCTCTGTTGTTGATTCTGCTAATCGCTGTTTGTTGCAACTCATTAGAACTTTCAGCATTCAGCAGACATTTTAATTGGACTGGATCAGCTGGAAGGTCAAAAGATCACCTCTCCATTGTCTGACTCTTGGGGTTGGTATAAGAAATGGGCTAAGTTGTTTCCAGATGCTTTGCCTGCTAACTGTGATTCATGTGTGATTGAGAAAAGAATAACTCTGCATCAAAAGCCGGGCCAAAAATGCTCTTTCCCTGATCGTCTCCTGAAATATGAATTCAAGATTAACACAATGGGTGAATGGTACTGAAAAAAATCGAATGAATCATATAGCTTGCTCATTTTTGGGACATATTCGCTGGAACTACAACCATTTCCAGATTTTTTGGGGACGTTTACACGAATGCAATAAAAACTCATTTCTAGTAATTAATCAAACCCTTTATTTAACAGGTACAATTACACAGAGATATTTTAAGGCATTATTTAATAATAACTACAAAACAGAAGTAAATCTAAAAAATGGGCATCAACACACTAAAGTTAAAAGCTGACACAGAGGTGAGGATGTCACTGAAACTGACCAGTTTGAAAAACACCTTTCAAGTGGAAGATTTTCACCGTCTGATGTTTGGTTTTGGACAGAAAATAAACCTTAACAAACACTAATATGCACCTCTTGTTTAACCTGCAACACAGCCTTTTAACTGAGGTAGTGCTGGTTATAAGAAACCCCGCTCATTGGATTATTTCGCCACCTGTACATGAATGAGCTCTTACTCACAGACTTTATGAAGGAACATTATAGATTGTGATGTTGTATTATAACTAAAACTATCCACCAACACAGAATCTCAAGATAATGTCACTAATACTGCTGGAAAAAGACAAAAAAATGAAATGATAAACAGGTTTTATGAGCTGGAAGCCAAAATTGTGACAAGAAACTAATAAATACTTAAAATTCTTTACATTGCGGGCGCTGAATCTATAATCTATGAAAGTTTAACTTTTAAATGAAATTATGGAAATTAAAAAACTTTTCCATGAGATTCAAATTTTTTAAAATGGTCTGGAAATAAAGTTACTGTGTGAAACATCTGAAAATCCTTCATCTGTGATTGCCTCTGTAAAATGTGTAGATAACAACCACTATAATTATTACAGAAGTCCTGGAAGTACTCTTTTTTTTTACTGGATTTACAGAAGCCTGCTGTTTTCTTCATTTATGGATGTCATAATGTGACCAGCGAACTCCATTCTGCACATGTTCAGGATTAGATGTGACTGCATAGAACCTTTTAAAAGATGGGATTTTTGAGAGACAGATAATGGCCAAGTTGGAGCTAGAAAAGGGTACTAATCCATCTCATAAATCCAACCACGGCATAGCTGACATTCCTAATCTATCAGCTAATCAGGAGTTATCTGCACTGAGAGATCAGGTTCTGCTGCAGATGTCTCACCATCAGCCCACCGAGGAATGTCTGTCACAATAATGGAGCCCTGGTGAATGCCAGAGAATGTGTGGGTAATCTCTAATCTCCATGTCAACACTGACTCTTCTTACACTCCAGTTTCATTCCTCCGGTTTCAAGTTCAAGACTCCTTGATGGAAACATCAGTTTAGGGTTTTCCACTGCTTGTTGCACTTTCCTCTCATTACTATGATTATTTTCTACCAATGTTAAAGGAAGGGATACCATACTTCAGGGACAAATCAGTTTTATGACAGTTGTGAAAGCATGTTGATGGTTTGTCTTCTGTTTTTCCAGTAAACCTGCAGATTTTGGGCTATTTCGCACAATGTCAACATCCTAAATGTCAACAACCAACCCCCGAAGAGAGCTGAGGTTTCTTTGTGTCTAACACCAGGAAAAGGAACGGGAGACAGATTTTTTAGACTTAGACATGTATTTGCACACAACCAAATCAGAATCAGTGAACAGCCATACTTCACAAAACTGCATTTGTTAGTGAACTATGTCTGTCAGAGGGTTTGAAACTGAGACCAAACTGAAAATTAATTAGAGATCACACAAAAAAAAGCAGAACAATCTATATTCATTTGACTCTGCAGACTGTAGCCCGTAACAAAATAATGCCAGCATGGCTTTATAAAGCTCAGCTTTGATCATTAACCAGTATTCAACTGCCTGTTAAGTTAAGGTTGAAGTTAAAAAGGCAGTAGTAGGAATGTTTTAAAGGTTTTGATTCAAATTTATTTGAAAAGCAACATCACACAGAAATCAGTACTGTAAAACCAAGTTAGTCACCTGCTGTACCCCCTTAAGTATCTGGAATTACCCTATCAGCCCTATAGTGTTCTGTAGAGCACATCCTGGGCTTTCCAGTGATGTGCCATGTGATAGCTTTGCATGCTGGGAACTTTACTTTTTTCCTAAGAGTTCTTAGCTAAATATCCCTTTCAAGACATCTTCTTTTTTATTATTTAATTATCTAAAGCCTGTTCTATTTTCCCATGTAAACCGTCCTGTTGTCCTCCACAGTGGACATGCTATGAAATTAAAATGAAAAATATATTTTTTTAAATTTAAATTGTAATGTTCTTTTTTTAGGTCCAAATACATGGAAAATCACAACAAAAAAGACATTTGAAGACACACAAAAAAAGATTGCCTTAGCATAGATGTAGTGGCGATTGTTTGTCAAACCAAACATCCCAAAAAAAAGTTCCTCAAGCCACTAAGAGGCACTGGGGTCCAGTTTCTGTACGCAGGCAAAAGATTTCACATCCAAAGTTGTTGATTATTCTTGAAGGTTTATTGGTTCTTTCTAGCAACAATTTCAGAGTTCAAAATTTGTTCTCATTCTGTTCTCTTGCTCTGTCTCTTGCTCTGGTAAAAACCATAGGCCCCAAACCCAAATGCCTTTGCTGGTCCTTTACCAGGCCCCTATACTTATAGAAAAGTGGACTGACCCACATGACTTCCTGTCTAACTCAAAGAATGAATAAGAAAAATAATAAGACAAGAAATGAAATAGAATCAACAATTATTAACCTGCAAATAAATACTGTAAATAATACAAAATATATACATTTAAGAATTAACTAACAACATTCAAATGAATAAAGAAATAAAGAATAAATAGCTCCAACAATAGAAAATAACTGAATAAATACTTCACGCGGGCCAGTGAACGCACCACGGCGGAGGGGGCTGTTTCGGTGGGGAGTGGGGGGGAGTTCCCTGGTCCTGTTGGTGCCTCCCCCCCTGCTCTCAGCCGGGGTTTTGGGCTCAGAGCTGAACGCTCCACCGAGCCCGCAGGATGGAGGGCAGGCTCCGCCAGACCGCCGCCCCCCCCGCTGCGCGCCGCCCCGGCCCCGAGACACCAGCCCCGGCCCCGGACACCCGGATGGAGCCCCGGGGAGTGCCTTTCTGACCGAACCCCAGCAGAACCCGACCCCCCGAACCATGTCGGTTCTGTGGCTCCCGGTGGGTCTGCTGCTCAGCCTGGTACCGCGGGGTCTGCCGCTGTCCCGGGACCCCCGCGGGGGGGGGGGAAACAGCCCGGGCCCGCGGCCGCATATCGTCTTCATCCTGGTGGACGACCAGGGCTTCCGGGACGTGGGCTACCACGGATCCGAGATCAAGACCCCCACCCTGGACCGGCTGGCCGCTCAGGGGGTCAAACTGGAGAACTACTATGTCCAGCCGCTCTGCAGCCCGTCCAGGAGCCAACTGATGACCGGCAGGTAAAAACGACCGGCCAATCAGGGCCAGGCGCTCTGAACGAGAGTTTAACACAGTTTATTGCATGTTTACCACTGAATTATTGTCATCTTCCTTCAAACTAACCCTTCATGATCAGTTGAGTTGGATGCGCATATGCAGGCTTTTATTTTGGAATATTTTCTTTGAGTCCAAGCGCTTACTGCCAATTGATATTTTTTTTATTATAGTTTTTTATAGTTTTTTAAAATAGTTTTTAAATAGAGCCACTGCTTATGTGTAGTGCCCTGTGTCATATCAGAGATGGCACCGCTGGGTTTTGGTTTAACCACAGGCAAAACAAAGATACCAGTGATGCGTTTGTGGACAGACTGCTTTGCTTTATCTGTGTGGCCTGTCGGGGGGAGTAGAGGCATGATTAGGACCAGGTGAGCACCGGGGACCCCTGAACAGGGTTCTAAAGTGTTCTACAGGGTTCTAAACGCCTGAAAAAAGGCAGATTGTAAGGTTCTTTTACCTCTCACTCCAGCATTGGACCGTTGCGTACTCTGTAACTATTTTCTCAGCTGAACACGTGCACGTAGCTCTGTGTGTGTGCACGTGCTGCACATGTGTGTTGCGTCCTGCTCCTGCTCAGACGAGCCCCCAGAAAACGGACAGACTGGTCGGGAAACAGAGCTAGTCCTCACACCAGAGACTGTAGACTGGAGCCTGTGTTCCGTCAGAATCTCTAATCTGAGATGCATCTTGTCACTAGTTTTAGACATCTGATCTGAACTGCTTTGACAATAACACAGAAATCACAATCTCCTCTGATAAGTGTGGTCAGACCTAGTATTTAATGCTTGGCGTCTGCACTTTCTGTCTTTCTCTATAAAGGTTTTTACCTTCCTTAGTAAAAAGAAACGTGTTATAATTCAAAAGCTGCCTGAAAAATGAATGTTTTTATATTTTAGGAGCTCTGTCTTGTGCTCGAGAACCATCTGTGATACTCTGTATCAGATAAAGCACAGTTTTCAAACTTTGGTCTTAAAGGGCCGTTGTCTCACAGGTTTTAGACGGTTTTTGCTCCAATACGCCTGATTCGCATCAGTGTGCCTTTGGAAGTCACGTGCAGACCGTAACAGTGTTTTGAATGGATCAATTCAATGGAAATCTGGTATTCTGAAGCCCAGAAACCCTTTACATCCACAGAATAGCTGCCCAACCACAAGCAGACTGGGAGACCCCTGACATCAAAAGATGCTTTTCCACTTCCTAGCTCAGCTAACATCTGCATGCAGGTCCAGGTGCACTTTAAAGCACGTATGCGTTTGAGCCTGAATAAAGTCTGAAATCCATGTCAGAACATTAAAACATCGGCTGCCTGTGTCTGCTGGACACGGACCAAAGCTCCAACCCAGGCCTGTCAGCACAGATCTATCCCCACGCCAATAAAGAATAAGAACTGAAAACACAGCCTGTACCTGAATGCATCGGTTCGCTGCATATGATCCAATTCTATTATGACTTTTTATGTCCAGACATTTGTTATGCGGTGTGTTCTCAACTGAGAAAAGCCTCCATTCCTTTCTAAATGTTTACTGCAGAGTAAAGTACAAATGTACAGATGTCTTTGCAAAATACTGTTGAATTAAAGTTGAATTAAACCAGATCTAAAATCCTGAGATAGACAGATTAGCCATCAGGAAAGCCTATGATTGGTCTGAACCCTCCCCTTCCATACCTGTGTGAGCCATTCAGGAAACTGATACGGTGTGGATGTGTGCAGTGGTGTTATTTAATTTCTATTCAGTGTCAGTGTATTGAAGTTCATTTGATTTATATTCACAGCAGTGTTTTTAGAAGGAAACACACACATATATATATATATATATGTTTAGATTTGATTTCAAACCCATCAGCTTTACTTTTGTTTTCCATTCCATCGAAACAGAAACTAGACACTCGTTCATCTTAGGAAACAATGTCCTCTGAAACATTGTTTTTTGCCACGCTGAAAAATGAAACATGTTGGAATAGAGTTCCTTTCATTTTTCGGAAGCATGTTAAAACACGACGATGGTGTTATGAACACCGGAACAGTGTGTTGTGTAGGGCTGCCGAGTAACCGCAGAAAAAATAAGAATGAATTCTCCACAAACAAGAGCTTTACAAAGACTTTTATATTATCTCCTTCCAGGAAATTCCATTAAGACACCCCTATGATATCAGAGGAATAAAGTTAGAGAGTTCCTTCAGCCACATCACTGTCCTACTGATGCACTTAATTTAAATAGTTCAGAGAATGTAAGATGTTTTGGAAAAATGCATGAATGACATCGAGGTGAAACTGAACATTTCAGGCTAGCGAGCCACGACACCTCACCTGTTCAGGCAAGCACAGCCTGTGCACAGCGTGTGCACTGTGTAGCATTTTACATGTGTCACAGAGACACATTTTAGCTCAGAGTGTGAGCCATGACTCTTTTGGTTGGTTTATTATTAGTTTTTCATGAAAAACAAAGTCATTCTTCTGTAGATTCAGAGAATTTATTAACAGGACATAAGAAAATGACCACCTTGCCAGGTCTTGAAATGAGGAAAATGCATCTTCAAATAACCAAACACGATATGATATATTACACTGTATTATGAATGATACAAAATATAACACCGGACTGAGAACACAGAGTATCCACAATACGTTAAGTCATGAAAATGACCCACATTCACATCTAAAGTGTTAGGGACAAGGGCAGCAAAACAAATGCGTGGCCTTTACTAGGCCCTAAACACAACGTTAGATAAGCCAAAATGTCTTTATAGTAATTCCTGCTGAGATTTGCAGTTGTCCAAATGGGTTTTAACTTAACTAAATATCCATTATCAAAGTATAGTCCATACAAAAAAGCATACTTATTTCATTGTTAAGTTTCTACATCACTTAAAGATCAACCAGCTATTAAGAAAAGCTGAGAAATGCCCTCTAGTGTCTCTAGAGAAAAGGCTGCTAGCATATAGAGCTGCTGGCCTCAGCAGGGAATGTCTAAAAACTCATTTCTAACTGTGTTTGTAACAATAGATAACATAAAAGCACCAAGACCGAGGAAGGGCTAGAACTACAGAGTTGAGAGAGAAATTAAATGAGGGGAAGACCCACACTCCTGCAGGGCTGGCTTTGATTACATGCGTAGTGCAGAAGAGAGCCGTGTGTGAGCGGGAACCCCGGAATATTCTGCAGCCGGGGATCAGGTCTGCTCCGCTCGTCTCTGTGACCAGAGCCGTGGTCAGCCCGGTTGCCTCTTGGGACTTGAACGATTGCCAGTGCACGGTGATTTGAGCGTAATGACGTGTGTGATTTGTTGGCCGTGTGGCTCAGTGATTGTGTAAATAAGCCTGAGAGGTAGCGTGGTTTGAGCTAGAGAGCTTCTTTTGGCTGTGTCTGTGCTTGTGAGGAGACCATCAGCATGTGTCCACCACAACCCACTGGAGGTGACTCCAGCCCAGATAAAAGAGGACGAATTTCTGGACCCCGGGACTACACATTCCCTGCCCGGTTGATTTTTAAAGGACATTTAAACGAGTCAGAGTGCTTTGCACTCCACGGAGCGTTCTCCCGGCAGGTTCAGATGATTTGTGGAGGGATCACAGGCTGCACCGAGCATGACATTCCCATTACATGGGTGCGACTTTGTGGTATGTGAGCACCACCAAACCTGCACGGGGCTGGACCAGAGAACCAGAGCTGGGCCCCCTTGTGCACTCAAGTCGAACCACAGGTGTGTCTTAATCAATTTCTACATGTATATGTGTTTTCCATTCTCGCCACTTATAGTCTCAGTGCTCTCCTGACACTGAAGCTAAACCCTTTGACAAATGAAAACAAATGAGGTGAAGGGGCTGAAGTGGAACAGGATACTGAATTAAGGGAATTCAGAAGTAGATGGGAGGTATGGAGAACATTACATCCTAATCTTTAATGGACATCTAAGGATAAATGACAGGGCTGAGTGGAGCAGTTTTACCTGACTGTTTACACAGAGCAGATTATATGTCTGTTTATTGAACATGCTAATGGGCAGGATGTCTGTGTCTGTCTGAGACAGATGAACACAATCAGATGATGGTGTTAGGGAATGAATCACTCCTTCTAACAGATAAATTTGCCTCGGATGCTCATTCCATGTTTTCCTTTTCACTCTCATTTGTCAAAGGCTAAATATGTCAGAAATTGAGGCTGAAAATCAATCCATTCAGACTACATTTCCACGTCTGATCCAATAAAATCCGGATTCTATTTCTATCCAGGTAACTGAAAGACGTTTGAGTTGTGAATTAACTGCTCTTTAATGATCTCGGATCCCTCTCAGATAAAGTTAGAGGAATGTTTGCTCTTTATCTCCACACACAGAATCCTCAGACACACCTCATCAGTAACTCCATCCCCTGCCTTTCATGTACGCTGGAACAAGGACCAAGTCCAGCTGCAAACAGCTGCAAACTAATTCTTCTGTATTTCACTGCCATCCAGTTTCCACTGCGTTGACGTTTTAATTTCTGATGAGTTTGTTATTTTAACTATTCTGTGGCGCTGGGATAGCAGAATTCTGCCAATAAAGCCTTTTCTGATTCTGATTCTGAACAGTTCATTCTCTATCTTCCAACTAAGCTTTTTGGTAGTTAAACTGATAATCTAAAGGAGTAATCTAGACCAAAGTAAAGGTGGTTCACAGAGAGTCAATAAAGTCACTGATTTAATTTTAACAGTTTTTATTCATCCAGTCCAAACGCACTTTGGACTAACTTACACAAAAGCAGTGTAACTTAAAAGGCTGAAAAAAATTATTTATCACTAAATGGTTTAATGGAGATGCTTCTATTAAGAATATTCTTAGGAATTTCAACAGTTTTAAACAGGGGTTTTCAGATGGTTAGCCTCCCTTCAGACAAAAACATACTGAAGATGTCTGAATATTTAAACTCAGCCTAATTGTTTTGTTTTGTTTAAATCTTTAATCCCCAAAATCATGTTAGTTGATGCCCCAGATTAGAAATCTATGCGTGTCATATATTGCTGACTGAGATAAATTCAGACTTGACTCAGTCAAAACAAGAGACCGCTGTAGTGCTTCCACTCACTGAGCATAAGAACTGGTTTGAAAACCCCTCGGGAGTCTCTCCTCCCCATTTGAAACCCTGTCAGTTTTTAACCTCCCACACATGTGATGGGACAAACTAAGCTCTGTTTGAATCGAGCTGGCTTCTTAAAAACAAGCCTTTTAACAAGCCTTTCAACTGTTTGTAGAAAACCGTGATGTGTTTAGGGACCCACAGGCATTTTTTTCCTGCATGATTTTAGTGGCTGTTACTTTTATCTTAACTCTCTTTTCCTCCCAGTGAGATTAATTAACCCTCAAATTGATAAGGTGGCAAACTTCCAGTCTAGTGATATATAAGTATGCTTGCTGTTGTTATTTATAAAATGGAAGTGTAAATCATTGAGTTTGTCGCTGTGAATGGCACAGCTCGCTCTCTCTTCAGAGACTGGTCCAGTCCATGGGGAGTGGAGGCTTCTTTGGTCTGACCACCATCTGGTTTTCCTCTAAACAAGCCATCTTTGTGGAAAACTAAACCAGACATCTCCCTCTGAGTGGTGACAATGTGGCTACATCCCGCAAAACCTCATCCGAGAGCACGGGAGGCTCAGAAAAGGGAAGAGGAAGAGGCAGCATCTGGCTTTGTCTGTGCACCATCTCCATGATGTTTTGCTTTCACTGGAACAGTGAAGTGAGGCAGTTAATGTGTTCATCTTCTAAGACTAGCCACCAAAGCCCCTGCCTATCTGGAAAATGGCTTTGCTCTTCGTGGGTGTAACCAGTAATCCTTCTGTGGAACACTTTGAATTATTTGGATCAGGTCTTCTAGAAAAAAGACAAGTGTAATGATCTTTGAAAAAAAGTCTTGTAAGATTAGGGATCTTTCTGGGTCCAAAATCTGAGTTAGCATTTAAAACATAGCTGAATTATACCAAAAGAAATACCATCACAGTTAAATATGATACAAATATATATGAAGGAAGCTTTTAGTCTTTCTTGGATTCCCTCTCAAAGGACAAATATTAAACCATAAAAATTATTAGGTATGACATTACACTATTTGATTATAATCATGACAATAGAAGAGTATTTAGCCAGTTTCTAAGTTGTCAGAGCATCTGTGTGAGATTTTAAAGTCAATGGATCTATTTTTCCACAAAGCACAAGTGAGGTGTGCCCACTCTGGAGCATCCTACTAAATGTGTGTGTGGGTCCAGGTGTTAACATTTAGGTAAGAATCAAAATAACTGATGAATTAATACGAATTCATAAAGCACAGACCCAGACGCCGATTAAACATACTCTAACTAACTCAAACCCAAAGCCACAACTATCAGAAGCAAGAAATGTGCATGCTTTTTTGACTGGTGTGAGAAGACTATAGATGTCCAGGTTAGATCAAATAACTTACAATACATATGAAATGCCAAGTATGGAAAGGGTCATGACAAAAAAGTTGCCATTTTTACCCTACATACACTCATGTAGGTCAGTACATGCTTATATAAGTATGCAAATATATATAAAAAACTATCCACATTTGTGATTGTGCATTCAGATGGATAAGAATGATAATTCTGCCCAAAGAATCCAGACTAAAGCTAATTTGATCCTCTCCATGTTGTGTTTATCCTGGCTGTTTTAGCAGTAAACAGATCTATTAAACAAGATCTAGTTAACAAGATCGAACCTTATTCATCCATCTTTATTCAGATCTATTCTGTCTAGTAGGAATGTGCTAACCTAAAACTCACATGAAATTGATGTTGGTGTTGTTTGAAGAGTGGATTTCAGCTCAAACCATGATTGTTTTCTTATAAATGTGTTCACCTAAAGCCAACCTGATGGTCATATTTGTAAGTCATTGAGGAGCATGCAGTATATTGGTCTCATGACTCACAGAGGCTTGTTTTTTACATTACTTTGCAGCTCAATCCAACCACCCTCCTCCCTACATGTAGAGATTTTGAAGCTTGTTGAACGATAGGCTTGACAATGTTGTAATATGACGCATATCTACCTCAAACCACTTTCAGGCACTTTTATATGATTTTTATAAGTGATCATTTGTGTTGGACGAGGTTTTGTGTGTTTATGTAAATAGTATTTTAAAGCATTTCAGTGGTTTCATGTACTTACATCCAATTTATCATTGTGGTGATTGAAAGAGTCTTCAAACATAATTTGGTGAAAGTGTCTTATCATTTTAGAAAATACATTCATTTTCTATATCTGCTTATGTCAGGGAAGCAGGGTACAGCTAACATGCACTTTTTTGGGATTGTACCTAGACAGAACCCACTCATACACTGTGAGAATATCCATCCATCCATCCATCCATTTTCGTAACCGCTGATTCCCTAATGGAGTCGTGGGGGGGACTTGAGCATATGGGCGACAGGCAGGGTATGCCCTGGATGGTCCGCCAGTCCATCGCACGGCCACACAGAGACACACAAGGACAAACAACCAACCGAACCTTCATTAATTTTGGACGGTGGTAGGTGGGATGAAGCCGGAGAACCTGGAGAGAACCCAGGCAGACACAGAGAGAACATGCAAAATCCAATGGGGACTCGAACCCATAACCCTCTTGCTGTGAGACGATGGTGCTAACCACCACATTACTGTGCCGCCCACTAGTGAATATGTATTTAGAAAATACCACTTTATGTAACGCTACAAAAATATACCACAGTATGCCCTGTAGCAATGAATGCAAATAGATTCCTTTCAAAAGAGAAAAGTTCTATCAGAGTTCCATTGAGCTTGCTATGGAGGGTGCTCTTTATTGAATAGTTCTGTACGAGCTGCTTTTGAGTGACATATTGCCTGTTATTGCTCACAGCAACTATTGCCCAAACACCTCCTGTCACCACACTTACACACTGGATCAGTTGAGCATTGCTTTTCCCTTGCCAGGATATAAGCACTCCTTTGTCAGCTAAGTTTAAAAAAAAATACGGATCATATTTAATACCTACATTTACCAACAAAAGGACTAATGACTATTTTAAAGAGAAAAGCCTTTATTAGGGATCTATTCCAAAAATAAGTCTTTGTCTCTTATTATATCTGACTCTTTGAGGTATTTCTAATGCGTGGTTATTAATGTGTTTGTGTTTGTTTTTTCACAGATACCAGATCCATACAGGCCTTCAACATTCCATCATTCGAGCCACCCAACCTAACTGCCTACCACTGGAAAATATCACCCTACCCCAGAAACTCAAAGAAGCAGGTTACTCCACTCACATGGTGGGGAAATGGCACCTGGGCTTTTACAAACGTGGTTGCCTCCCTACCAAACGGGGTTTTGACACATTCTTCGGTTCCCTGCTTGGAAGTGGGGATTACTACAGCCACTACAAATGTGAAGGACCTGGAATGTGTGGCTACGATCTGTATGAAGGGGAAGAGGCGGCTTGGGAACAGGACCGTGGCTTGTACTCCACCGTGATGTTTACTCGAAAAGCTATTAGTATTTTAGCCAATCACGACCCTCGCCAACAACCACTGTTTCTCTACTTAGCTTACCAAGCAGTTCATTCCCCACTGCAAGTTCCTGCCCGCTACCTTGAGCGCTACAAGGGGATTCCAAATTTACCGCGCCGCAAATATGCTGCCATGGTCTCCTGCCTGGATGAAGCAATTCACAACCTCACGTTAGCGCTGAAACGCTATGGTTATTACGACAACACGGTCATAGTGTACTCGTCAGACAATGGGGGCCAGCCTCTAGCAGGTGGGAGCAACTGGCCATTGCGGGGGAGTAAGGCTACCTACTGGGAGGGCGGCATCAGGGCGGTGGGCTTCGTTCACAGTCCCCTGCTGGTGAAAAAAGGGACCAAATGTCGATCTTTGGTTCACATCACTGACTGGTTTCCTACACTGGTGACTCTGGGTGAGGGAACATTAGATGAAGACCTAAACTTGGACGGATATGATGTGTGGGAGGCTATCAGCGAAGGCCACCCCTCGCCTCGCCAAGATATTCTGCACAACATTGATCCAATTTACAACAAAGCCAAGAATGGCTCGTGGAAGGCTGGGTATGGCCTATGGAACACGGCCATCCGGGCTGCTCTGCGGGTGGGCCACTGGAAGTTACTCACAGGCGTACCGGGCTACAGTGACTGGGTGCCCCCACAGACCTTCTCCAGCCAACGGCTGACCAATCGGTGGCATAACGAACAAGTTCGTTGGGACCGGGGAAAGTCAATCTGGCTGTTCAACATCACGGCTGACCCATATGAAAGAGTGGACCTGTCCCAGCGCTATCCACATATAGTGAAGAAGATGCTGTTCCGGCTTGCGCAGTACAACAGGACCGCGGTGCCCGTACGCTATCCCGCCAAAGACCTGCGTTCTAACCCCCAGTACAACGGGGGTGTATGGGGACCCTGGTACAAGGACGAACAGGAGGAAAAAGAGGAGCAGGAGAGATACGATAACTTGTTCACCAACCACCTGGGTAAGCGGAGGTGGAAAAATAAATCCAAGAATAGGAAAGTAAAAAGGATGGGCGAAAGGCCGGGTACGCCCTGGACGGTGCCCGAGTAGTCTACCACACCTGTGAAAAAAACTGTTTGGCTTTTCTCAGGGATGAACTATTCCGGTTAAAGGACCTCCAGATCGATTTGCCAGGACTCCAGTATACATGATATGGAAAAAGGTAGCAGATGGATATTACAGAAAGTCTTAGGACCCCTTGTTTGAACACTACTGCAGCGTCCAGACAGCTACAACCTCATTTCACCATTTGGGTGCTCAAAGACTTTATGTTGCATGTGTGAGCTTTTGTCACTTTTGTATTTTTCCTGTTGATGTTTGGGACTTCAAAATAAGTCTTCCTTGATAGTTGCCATAAAATTTGGTGGCTGAGACATAAACTTAAACAGTTCTGCTAGTTTGCTAATTGCAGTGTCACAGATGTAGAATAAATGAAGTGTGTGTTCCTTTATGTTGGTTTTTGTCCCTGTATTTTAAAACTGTAGATTTTTTTCCTCCTTGACGTGATGTCTGGTCTGGCACCAGGCCGACTTGACAAAGACAAATGGATTGAATAAAAATTCCAGACACAAATGTCTTTGTCTTCTGCTATTTGTTAAGCTTCTTGTGGTTTGCAGTTTATCACAAAGATTACATCTTTTTTTCTTTCGGTAGACACTCTTGCGATTGTAAAACCTTTAATAAATCTTTTGCTTTTGAAAGTTGATACAAGGCCATAAAAGATAGTTGCGCCTTGGAGATGCAGTAAAGTGGGATCTCATGGAGGATATGACCTAATTGCTTTCTTGCAGTTTTTGACAGTTGCCTACATGATCAATTGCGCTGTATTTAACAAGACATTACATACATCGGTAAAGGAGAAATGGAACGGCATGCACAACCCCAAAGCAATATTTTCACATGTATCTTTCTTTTGGTGCCAGCAGAAGCAGAACCCCTAAGCTCACAATGGGCTTTGGGACTTAATGTACTCGTGAATGTTGAAAGTGATGGCTTATAAGCCTTTTTCCATTCATATCACTTTCATGAAGTCATCTCAAATACACTTGAACCTAAAGTGATATATTGTCTAACATATGGCTCTAGTGTGATCTAAGAGACTGCAGAATTGATGGAAAGCGAGCAGCGGAGGGGCTTCCCCGGTGAAGGAGTGCCTGATCCCTCAGTCTCTGAACTGTGCTTGTGCCAAATTATGACCTCAGATCTTTTGTATTTGTATTAACAGCTTCCATGCAGGCTGATTTTGAGAGGGTTCTTCACTCTTTCCGAAAACATAAGCAGTGCTCCTCGTCTAGAAAACTGAAAAAATGTAGCCATAACTAATAACCAAGTGGGAAAAACGATACCAAAGATGTTCGATACAAGTATGCTACTGCAGCTGTGGAACTGTAAGTGCAGAGCAAACACACCCACACTGCCACTGCGTACTCCTGTATGTGAGGCGAGTCCCGTCAGTGTTTAGTCTACCCAGGAGCAAACAAAAGACCAGGAAACAAACAGAACATAGAGATGAATAGAACTTGTTGAAAACACAGTAATTACAACGGCAATGGAAGCTCATGGCAGCTTTACCTTCACCACAACTTTGGTCGCCAAATGCACAACATTTTTATAAATTAAATAATAAATATTGGTATTGTTTTAGCTGGATTCACCTTTTGTGAGGCGAGTGTCAAAAGTCTGATGGAGATTCCAACAATTTACTTGACTGGTGAGTAGACGATTCAAAGATGTCAGCTTGCTGTATTTATTAATGCAGTGATGGAATGGCCTTTATTTGGTGTCTATGACTTACCAAAGAGAAACATTTCTACACAGATTGTCCTGCAAATTCCCTTTGGGAAATGAGCAACAATGTAACTGTCTAGCTGGGAATGGTGCTAGCTGTACAAAGCAAACTGAAAACAGGTAAAGAAGCTGTGCTGTCTGGACTGAACTGTGTAGCTTCAGCTGTAAAATCAAAATTCAGGTTTGCTTGTTGTGGTCTTTCTGTTTGTTGGTTATATTTTATCAGTGATTGTTCTTTTAAATAATTCAAGGAGCTGATTAACACGCAACAGAGTAAATTGAGTTTTGTTCCCCTCTAGGCTTTTGAATTGAATAAAGGCTTTTGAATAAATCAAAGGTGCACGGTGTAGGAATTTCACCCATCTAACAGTGAAATTATGTTTTGCATTTTTAACAAATCTGCTTTCTGGTACCTCACGTTTTCAAATGGGTATTGAAGTCATGACAACATGACTTCCACATCATCCAGTTATCTCTCGAGTGATGACGTTTGTAATTTAAAAGTAATTACAAACTGCATTGGTAGATTAGTGTGAGCATGTAATTACTACTCCAACAAGATAGCGAATTACATTGCCATTTGATTCTGGCTCAGAATGAAAACACGTTGTGGATTAGCTAGACAGGCAGACTAGTGCTTTATGTCCCTCTCTGCCATTACGATTTTTCAAAATGGCGGAACACCATGGAAACCTCCATGGACTTACCCATCCTACGTATATATAGATTCATCATGAGAAGTCAGATCATGGCAGAGGCCATTTTACACCAAATGAGGACACATTTAGAAAGGAAGAAAATTATTTTAGCTTACAAAATACTCAAAATAATACACAATGTTCCTTTAATAAAAACAAAACAACTGGAAACAAACTCTTTCTCTTGTGAAGATTACATATCTAAATCCACCTTTAAGCAGTCTTCCTCCACTCAGATCAATAATACTGGATTTCCTGAGCTCTTCACACTTATTTGTGTCAGCAGGTTAGATCTCACCCATGGGAACAGAGTTCACCTGGCTAGGTCCAGTTTTATTCCTGACCATAAAAACAGGGTTTGTTTAACATGAGCCACAGCTGAGAGTTATAGAATATCAGATTCCTACTTAGTTACGCTGTACTAAATTTCCTCTTCCCAGGAACACTTAAACCCCGGAATTTTGTGGGAATTCCCATTTGCTTTTAGTTATGGGCATGAGCATTCTTCCCTTGGGAAAGAGCAGGGGCATTTTTCCCCATCTTAACTTAGCTGTAAGACAATACAGCAGGCCTCCTCCTCCATGTTCAGAACAACCACTTGTGCTCACTCGGAGTGATCAAAACCAGCTCTGGTAGAAGATTTGATGTGTCATGTTGCACTGGGATATTGCCAGGTCACGGTACCTTTGGCTTAGCTTTGTCATTATGCGGAAAATCCCCGTGATGATCCCAGTGATCACAGATCCCAGTGCAAATCGGGGGAATTAGGCTCAAACTGGCACGCAATAGCAATGGGCCCCATATGCAGACACTGGGCTTTGGCTCCTCTGTTTCTCATAAAGAGAACTGATCTCATAAAGAGAACAGAAAAGCTCCAGGCAACTGTTGTTTGAAAGAAGGAGACTATCTACAGAAACTGAATATTTTGTGAACACCACCCAGCGTTCCCAAACACGCTGGATGCTTGCAGACATCCACTCGGAGCGTTACTTAATGCAAGCCTGTGTGCTCCAGCGACTTGGCAAACCGTTCACATTCCATTCAGGCGAGGTAGCTCACAGTTTTTCTAGGTGGTTGTACAAGAAAGTGAAATGGCTGATGTCATGTTTGCTAGTGATGTCACAGAAATTCCTCCCTATAAAACAGCAGTAGGGTCTACAAAACCCTTCCAAAAGAGGCACAGAAACACATTTTCCTGCAGGAAAGCAGAAGAAACTGTTGATCTGTAGCAGCTACAGTTGAACTGACATGAGTTGGGGGTTTTTGGACATTTAAGGGAGCCTAAAATGAGTCATTCAGTCTGTGACGGTTTAGCTTGATGGACAGTTTTCTCTCCAGGATGTCTTGTAATGAGAAATTTCACCCATGCACAGCTGCCGTTTCTTGGGGATTTAGTAGAGGTCCAGTGCTCAGTTTATTCATTTTATGATATTCCTTCCTGAGTCTGGTTGAGATTATGCCTGTTTTCCTCCCCCCATCTGTGAAGGCTTTTTCTTTTCCCTGTTATTGCTCTTATTATTCTGTATTTTGTGGAAGATTTTAACTGGTGCAGTTGCATAGAGATGAGTTAGTCACTTAGAAAGGAATAGCCTCATAGAAAACTACCGTGCAGAAGGCAGGAAAACCACACACTAGCACGATTTAACATCAGAATCAGACATCTGGTTCAGTGTGCCATTATTTTAGAGTGCCAGTGGATTTTGACTTAGTTAGAGCATATATCCAGACTGATCACTGCTTGTTCTCCTGCAGGGGGTCCTGGGCTTTGCTCCATCCTGCACCCTTGCATTTTTGTCCGTGTCTAATATGAGTGTAAACCAGCACCAAAGGATGCACCAATCAAGCAGTCAGTTTCCCTTCTTTCATTTGTCCTTTTAAGCAAACTCAACACAACTGCTCTTCAGTTTTATTCGTAGTGTTATTTGCACTCATGCATTAAAAAGAAAGATTTCACAGTATAAATTCTGAAAGCATTGATAAGAATTGGACTTGTTGCTACTGATTTTTTCTCAGGAAGGATTGGTTTCTGTGCATTTTACTTTGTTGGACCTCTCCAACATGGCTTGTCTCAGTTTCCCAGGCCAGAAGAAGCTTGTGATAGTTCAGCTGGACCTTCCTCCTCATCCTGGCTTCAAACGGGGATCACACTAAATATTCTGTGTCATATGTGACATCTGAAACTCCTTAGACATCAAAATGACAGAAACGCTTTGCTCTTTTAAAATTTCATATCATGATAATAAAAGTTCAGCAATAATCCACGAAAGGATTAGAGTAAAATCTGGTTCAAAGCAAGCCGACAGGAAAACCGCTCAAGGGGGAGATCACGGAAATATACAGGGAGGACAAAACGCAGGAGAGAAGGTGAGGAAATGACCCGGCAGGCCTCCAGAGAACATCAGAAAGAACAGAAGGGTCAGGCGGGACAAAGGAAGAGGAGCTGCCCCCCCCCCCCCCGCCCCCCCGATCCCTCCCCTGTGGCGCCGTGCCCGAAGAAGAGAAGATCCAGAATAACTTTGTTCTTCAGCGTTATAAAGTAGTTTTGATGGTTGCTTGATGTGTCATGGTCATAGTGGGTATAAATATATATATGAAAAATCAAATAAAATGAAAAATATTTTTAAAAAATGTGTATATATATATATATATAAAGCATAAGGAAACAGTATGGAAAGCTGTGATTCCAT